CAGATTGAGTTTATAGAACCAGGTTGGCCTTATCAGTGTCTATTTCCAAATGGAGACAGAGGTTTGGAGCTCCTGATCCCAGGAGCAAGTCAGTTCTGGAGCCAGTACTCAGGCTTGACCCCAAAGTGCAACTCTGAGCCTATGGGCTCCTGGCAGCTTCTGTTGCTCCGAGCAGCACTTTCAGAATTAACTCAGTGTTATAAGGTAGAGCCCAAGTCTCCACTGTGTTCCAATGCTCAGCCCATGGAGGCAGGTCAGAGTGAATTTGCTAATGAATGTTAACTGAAAGCTAACTGGGGAAAAAGGGGCTCTAGTTCCTGCCCCAGGGCCTTTGTATGCATTCTTTTTCTGTCATTTCTCTTCACCATTCTCACCAGCCTCTGCTCAGGCCTCTCTTCTCACCCCTACCCTGCTTATTCAGGACCACTACCTTTTCTACCCTATATAATTTCAGAGAATACCCCACCCCACCCCGGGGTACTTGTAAAAAGCCACATCATCCTTCAGGGGCCTTTTATAATTGTCCCTAGAGTCTGGAACATGCCCTTCCCACACGACCAATACTCCTGGGTTGGAATATGCACTACCAGAATAGACTCTGACTCATAAGAGCACACTTTTTAGAGGTCCCTGGCCCCTCACCCCAGTAGTCTCAGGTCAGGATAGGGTTTGGCCTCACAGGCAGTTCCTTAAATTTGCATTTCTCCCCCCCCTCAACACTTTGGGGTTAATTTGTATAAATTAAATGTTTGGTATGATTTTACATATTTTATTTTAAAATACAGTCGTCCCTTGCTTATCACGGTTAATCCATTCCAGACTCTAGCAGTTGCACCTGGCATTGAAGGATTCTTGGGATGCTCGCATACATAGGCCTACAGTCCATATGTACAGTAATTTTAATTTTAATTGTAATTGTAATACAGGGGTATATAATTGGTTCAGACAACCGAGTGCACGCTGTATCATTTTCACTGTCTCGATCAACTTGTTAATGAATAAATATATTTGGAGAAAACCGCGATAGAGTGAAGCCACAAAAGTGGAAGCGCGAAGTGGCGAGGGACAGCTGTTTTTAGTTTTTTTCCATAGCTGGTTTGGCTTGGCAATAGAGCATCGACCCGCGAACCAGTGAGTCATAGGTTTGATTCCAGTCAAGGGCACATAACCTCGGTTGCAGTTCATCCCCCACCCTGGTCCGGGTTGGTTGGTGCAGGAGGTAACTAATCGATGTGTCCCTCTCACGTAGATGTTTCTCCCTTTCTCTCCCTCTCTCCTTTCCACTCTAATAGAAAAATATCCTCAGGTGAGGATTAAAAATAAAATATTAGTTTTTTTTTTTTTTTTTGCAAATAGGCAATACATTCACCAGGTTAAAAATTCAAAAGACCTGTAAATATATTTGGTAAGTCTCATCCCCAGTTCTGCCCAGTTTTATAAAGGTACACATACAATGTAGTTGACTCGTTTAAAGTGTACAATTCAGTGATTTTTAGTAACTGCATTTTTTTTTCAATCCTCACCTGAGGAAATTTTTCCATTTATCTTCAGTTAGAGTGAGAGAGACACACAGACTAGTTGCCTCCCACACAGCCTTGACCAGGGCTGGGGACAAACCGAAAGAGGTACGTGCCCCTGACTGGAATCGAACCCACGACTCTTGTCCACATGCTGACACTCTAATCACTGAACCAAACCAGCCAGGGCTCAGTGATTTTTAGTATAGTCACAGAGTTATGCATCCATCACCACAAGTTTATTTGTTTTGTTAATCCTCACCTGAGGATAATTTTCCATTGATTTTTAGATGGAGTGGAAGGGAGGGAAGAAGAGAGAGAGAAACAAATGTCATCAATTGATTGCCTGCCACACAGGGTCGGGATCGAACCCACAACCGTTTGGTCTGTGGGCCAGTGCTCTGACCACTGAGCAAAACTGGCCAGGGGCCATCACCACAATTTTAGAACATTTTTCATATGTCAAGAAGAAACCCTATAAATTGGGTTCCTGGACTCAAGTGTTGAGAATTCACCTCAGTTCTGAAATTACCAGGAGATTGCTTCAGTGTCCACAGGTTAAGGGCTCAGTTCTACAAGACTGCCCTCCCAACACACTTCTGATACCAATCACAGGCTGAGGTTAGCCACAGATTGGAAGTTCCAGTGGCCCCCCTCCAACCCAGAATGCCAGTCACAAGACCAGGTGGTCACCTGTGGTTCTGACTGGGTATAAATTAGAGGTTTCCACAAATTTCTCTTTTGGTTCAATTGCTAGAGCTGCTCACAGAACTCAGAGAAACATGTCACGTAACTAGCTCACTGGTTTATTGTAAAAGGATATAGCTCAGGAACAGCCAGATGGAAGAGCTGTATAGGTCCAGGTAAGTGGGAAGGAGCCCCAAACTTCCATGCCCTCTCCTGGCAAGCCACTTTCCCCACATCTCCATATGTTTATCCTGGAAGCTCTCCGAATGCCATCTTCTTCGGTTGTTAGAGAGGCTTCATTGAATAGACTGATGAAATCATTGGCCGCTGATGATTGATTCCATCTCCAACCCCTTTTTCCTCCCCAATGGTGCAGGGACTGAAAGTTGCACCCCTCTAATCACATGGTTTGGTCCTTTATTTATTTATCCATCCATCCTCACCTGAGCACATTTTTGCATTATCTTCAGATTGAGCGGGAGGGAGAGTGGGAGGAAGAGAGACACAGAAACATCGATGTGAGAGAGAGACATCGAGTGGTTGCCACCCACACAACCCCAATGGGGGCCAGGGACAGACTGCAACCGAGGTACATGCCCTTAGTGGGAACCGAGCCCAGGACTCTGGTCCACGGGCCAATGCTCTAACTGCTGAGCAACACTGGCCAGGGCTGGTTTGGATTTTTTTTTTCTAATTTATTTTTATTACAGATGTTTCTCCTTTTTCCCCCACTGATACCTCCCCCTCCCCTCCCCGTCCTGTCCCCAGCTTTGTTGTCCATGTCCATTGTTGGTTTGGATCTTTAGCAACCAATTTCCAATCTTGGATGCTTCCAAAAGTCTCCTCCTTAACATAACAAAAGGTTTCACTCATCAAGCATTCCTAGAGCTGTGAGCCAGAAATTAAGGACAAAGACCCAGTGCATGACATATATTTTGGTCATCTGAATGACTAAATATATATTTCTTATACATCACAATATGGCACTCTACATCCCTTTGTTCACACTGTCCCAAAACCTTCCATCCTCCTATCCCCTGGCAATCACTAATCTGCTTTCTGTCTTTATGGATTTGCTTGTTGTGGACATTTCATATCAATGGGCTCATATATGTAGTCTTTTAAACAAAATTTTTTTTCTTTATTTTAGGGAGATGGAGAGAGAGAGAGAAACATCTATGAGAGAGAACATCAGTTGGCTGCTCTCCACAACTTGGGCATGTGCCCTGGCTGGGAATCGAACTGGCAACCTCTTGGTGCATGGGTCAATGCTCAACCACTGAGCCACACCGGCCGGGCATATATATATACAGTTGTCCCTCGCCACTTCGCACTTCGACTTTCAGGGCTTCATTCTATCGCGTTTTTTCAAATATACTGTGTATACGCAATAGAGTGAAGCCCTGAAGGTCCAAGCGCGAAGTGGCGAGGGACGACTGTAAATAAATAAAGAATTCTACTTTGCCGAAATTCATTTATCGCGGTAGAGTCTGGAACTGATTAACCACGATAAACGAGGGCCGACTGTATGTAGTCTTTTTGTCTGGCTTCTTGCATTTAGCATAATGTTTCAGTTTCAGGTTCATCTAAATTACGGCATGTAGCCCGGCCAGTGTGGCTCAGTTGAGCATCAAGTGATGCACCAAGAGGTCACTGGTTTGATTCCTGGTCAGGTTGCAGGCTCTATCGAAGTTATGGCATGTACTGGTTCATTCGTTTCTTTTTTTTTCTTTATTGATTTTTGGGGAGAGAGTGAGAGATAGAAACATTGATTAGCTGCCTCCTGCATGCCCCCCACTGGGGACTGGGCCCACAGTCTGGGCTTGTGCACTGACCAGGAATTGAACTGGTGACCTCTTGGTTCATGGGTCGATGCTCAGCCACTAAGCCACACCGGCCGGGCTGGTTTATTCCTTTTTAAAGCTGGATAATATTCTACTGTATGGATGCACCACATTTTGTTTATCCATTCATCACTTGATAGACATTTAGGTTATTTCTACCTTTTTGCGATTGTGGATTGTGCTGCTGTGAATATTGACGTATAAGTTTTTCTGTGGATATATGTTTTCATTTCTCTTGGGTATAATTGTGAGGAATGGAATTGCTGGGCCATATGGCAACTGAATGCTAACCCATTTGAGGACCTGCCAGACAGTTTTCCACAGCAGCTGCATGTCTTTGCATCCTCACCAGCAGTACAGGAGGGTTCCAGTTTCTCATCCTTGCCAACACTTATGTCTTTTCTACCTGATCTAGTGGGTATGAAACAGTGTCTTGTTGTGGTTTAGATTTGCATTTTCCTGGTGACTAGTAGTATTCTCGTGCAGTTCCAGGGTTTCTTGAGTGGTCATTTAGTCATTTAACAATAGTGGTTGAGGGTCATGTGCTCAGCACTGTAAACGCTCTGGAGAAAATGGGGTGACCCTGCCCTCTGGAAGTTTCCATGCTACCCTATGCATGGAGTGCTAATGATGCTTCATAGTTACCCTATGCATGGAGTGCTAATGATGCTTTATGCTCACAGGGCATTCACTGTGTTAATTCATTTCATATTTAAGCACTAATGTGCAAGATTGCCTTCCCCCCCTTGTCTGCAAGGGACAGCATGTGGCCATCCTGGCCTGTAGCTGGTGTGGCTGATTTGGCAGTCTGTCCTAAAGGGATGGAAGGAGTGCATGGCTCCTGTGATTCTTCATGCCCCAGCAAATCCACCATGTGGATATCCCTGAGAGCAGGGCTGAGCATGCCACCTGACCCCATCCCTCTGTTTGTCTTCCCCCGTCCTCTGCACAGCTACCATCATGGCCCAGACCCTGCAGATGGAGATCCCAAACTTTGGCAACAGCATTCTGGAGTGCCTGAATGAGCAGCGGCTTCAGGGCCTGTACTGTGATGTGTCAGTGGTGGTCAAAGGTCACGCCTTCAAGGCCCACCGGGCAGTACTGGCTGCTAGCAGCTCCTACTTCCGGGACCTGTTTAACAGCAGCCGGAGCGCCGTGGTAGAGCTGCCAGCAGCTGTGCAGCCCCAGTCCTTCCAGCAGATCCTCAGCTTCTGCTACACGGGCCGGCTGAGCATGAATATGGGGGACCAGTTCCTACTCATGTATACAGCTGGCTTCCTTCAGATCCAGGAGATCATGGAGAAGGGCACCGAGTTCTTCCTCAAGGTGAGCTCCCCCAGCTGCGACTCCCAGGGCCTACACGCTGAGGAGGCACCGTCTTCTGAGCCCCAGAGCCCTGTGGCTCAGACATCGAGCTGGACGGCCTGCAGCACCCCGTTGCCCCTTGTGTCACGCGTCAAAACAGAACAGCAGGAGTCGGACTCGGTGCAGTGCACGCCTGTGGCCAAGCGGCTGTGGGACAGCAGCCAGAAGGAGGCTGGGGTTGGCGGCAGCAGTGGTGGCAATGGTAGCCGCAAGATGGCCAGGTTCTCCACATTGGACCTGGCCACCAACCGGCCACCGCAGCAGGCCCTGGCGGCGGCTGCGGCAGCAGCAGCAGCAGCAGCAGGGGGAGTGGTGAGTGGGCCCAGCATGTCTGAGCGGACCAGCCCAGGCACCTCGAGCGCCTATACCAGCGACAGCCCAGGCTCCTACCACAATGAGGAGGACGAGGAGGAGGATGCAGGCGAGGAGGGCACAGATGAGCAGTACCGACAGATCTGCAACATGTACACCATGTATAGCATGATGAATGTCGGCCAGAGTGGTGAGGCACCCACTCCCCCTCTCTATCACTACTCCCACTCCTGCCACCCACATCCCCAACACATACTCCTTTCTCCTTCCGCAGCTGAGAAGGTGGAGGCCCTACCTGAGCAGGTGACCCCAGAGTCCCGGAATCGCATCCGGGTGAGGCAAGACTTGGCTTCTCTCCCAGCCGAGCTCATCAATCAGATTGGTAACCGCTGCCACCCCAAGCTCTATGATGAGGGTGACCCCTCTGAGAAGCTAGAGCTGGTGACAGGTAGGCTGGCCTCACTCCCCAAATCCCCATCTCCTCACCCTTGGCCTCAGTGCCCTCTGGGCTCTGGCCTATGGCACAACCCCTGGCTTTGTCCTGGGGCAGCTGTGTTGATATCCATCAAAGGCTGGCCTCTAGGTTTTTGCCCTGGAGGCAGGTATAAGCCCTGGGGGACATCATTGCCACAAAGCAGTGGATGAGTGGCTTCTTAGGGTGGTATGAGGATTAACTAGGCAGTAGTTAAGAATTTGGCCCTCAAGCCCAGGCGGTGTAGCTCACTGGTTGAGCTTTGACCCATGCACCAGGAGGTTGCCAGTTTGATTCCCGGTTGGGGCACATGCCCAGGTTGTGGGCCTGAACCCCAGAGTGGGGCATGTAGGAGGCGGCCAATCGATGTTTTCTCTCATTGATATTTGTCTCTCCCTCTCCCTTCCTTTCTCTCTAAAACCAATAAAGAAAAAAATATTTAAAAAAATAATAATTTGGCCCTCGGAATCAAGGTGCCTGGGTGCAAGCCTCTGCTGCTTGTTCTTTCTAACTCCTAGCTGGTTGTGCTGGCAAAAGTTACACATCTACTAGGTGGGCCTGGCATGTTTTAGGTGCCCCATAGACAGTGGCACCACCATTTCTGTCCTTTCCTGAGCACTGGTGAGGCTGCCCTGGGGTAAGTTGTTGGGGAGGATCTCCAGGGCTCTGAGAAGTGGGCCTGGTCACATGGGGAATGTGGCAATTTGGGGCCCTGACCACCCTCCATCTCCTCCCTCTAGGCACCAATGTGTATATCACAAGGGCACAGCTCATGAACTGCCATGTCAGCGCAGGCACACGGCACAAGGTCCTGCTGCGGCGCCTCCTGGCCTCCTTCTTTGACCGGTGAGGCCCTTGCCAGAGCCTGGGGAGCAGGGGAGCTGCCCCACACCCCCCACCACCACAGAGAACCTGACTCCCCTCCCCTATAACCCTCCCCCCCTCCAGGAATACACTGGCCAACAGCTGTGGCACTGGCATCCGCTCTTCCACCAATGACCCCAGGCGTAAACCGCTGGACAGTCGCGTCCTCCACGCTGTCAAGTGTGAGTGTCTGGCCTTCTGTAAGCAGGTTGGGGTAGGGCCTGGGGTGAACAGATGGTCCTTTTCTCTGGTGTTGGCCCTGATGGGTGGGTAGGGTTTGTTAAGGATTCTGAGGTTCAATCTAGGCTTGCTTGTTGGGGAAGAGGGCTATGATTTGTTAGAGATTTCTTTCGGTGGCAGGGAGCAGAGCACTGAAGGGAAGCCTGTGTCTGATGCAGGGTGGGGAGAATCTTCAAACTCAGGGTGGTCATGGACATGATGAAGCACCTAGGCCACAGACAGTTGTCAGGAAAGAACTCTTAAGTTTGCACATGGAATCTCCTAATTCCTAAATTCTGGCAAATGATCCATAGTTTTCAAGAGCACTGGGCCACCCCATCAAGCCCACATATCTCCCACACGTGACAGAGTTCAGTCAGGCATGGGGCTAGCTAATGTGGTTCAGCGTGCTGTGAGATATCTGTTCTCTTACCTCTAAGAGGGGTTCCAGGGTGTCCTGTGGTTGGGGGTCAGGGGAGTCAGGAAAGGCATGGCCGAGTGCCTTTTGTCTGAGCTGTCCACTCTACCCACACAGACTACTGCCAGAACTTTGCCCCAAACTTCAAGGAGAGTGAAATGAATGCCATTGCGGCTGACATGTGTACCAATGCCCGCCGTGTTGTTCGGAAGAGTTGGATTCCCAAGGGGAAGCCACCTGAGAGTGACACCTACACCACCTTCATCAGTGACACGGGCAAGCTAGAGCCGGACATGATGGGCGTGGAGCACAGCTTTGAAACGGCCAGCCATGATGGCGAGGCTGGCCCCTCGGCCGAGGCCCTCCAGTAACCCCCACCAGGCCCTCCATGAGGCTGTCACACTCCCCCTCCTGTCACCCACCCACCTGCCATCTTGGTCACGAGCTACTGTCTGTCCCTCCCCAGGACCCATGGGGTGTGCTGCATGCTCCCGGCCCCTCAGCCTCCCGTTCCAACCCTGACCCTAATCCGAGTGGGCTGGGAGAGGATGGCAGTGGTGCGAGCTCTGCGTGGCCTTCTCTCTCTCTCGCACACACTCGTGCACAGTCGGGGAGCATTTGCTCCCCCTCTCCTAACCCCTAGCAATTGTTTTCCCATTCCACTCAACCAGGCCGGGTAGGGGAGGGGTCCTCTGCTCCACCCTTCACTGCAGCCCCTTGGGACTTGCAGGAGCCCCAGGGTGCTCAGGAACCCTCCTGCCACCACCTCCCAGTGCTTCCACGTTTCCAAAAGCGCCTTCCTGTCTCTCTCGTCTGTCCCTGCGCCTGGGGCTGGGGTAGGCGAGGCTGTGGGGACTGCCCTTGTGACAGCTGAGGAAAACTGAGTCTCAGAAATCCTACGACTGACCTAGACCAACCTAAGGTGGCAGATGGCGGTGTGCCCAGCACCCTTCTCTCTCCCCCACCCTGTGCTCAGCCTCTCTTACACCCATTAGTCCCCTGGGGCCTGAGAGGGGCAGGTCCTAAGTGAGGGATGCAGACCAAGAGTCTCTGAGGATAGGACAAGAGGTTTCCAGGGCTCACAGGTGCGCGTGTGTGTGCGTGTGTAGAGGTCTTGCTTTTAAACAAATGAAGATATGAGAGGCAGTGGGACCAGGATTGGAACCAGGGAAGCATGCTGGCAGGCTGCTGCCCTTCCCTCCCTCCCCAACCCTATCCCGCGGCAGGGCTCCCAGCTCCCATCCCCTGTACATACTTTTTAAAACGTTTTTTTTTTAGCTAATGAAATATTGAAGTATAAGATTCCTTTTATTTTTCAAACCAATGGGACTGTGTCTGATGTCCCCTTTGGTCCCCGGGGGCCATGGAAAGCAGGATGGGATGGGGGGTGAGAGCCAGGCTGAATGAATGTGTGCATGTGGAGTGTGGGTGCACCTTTCCAAGGTGGGACTCCAGGCCTGGCCACCACCTGAACTTTGGGTCTGGCCAGCTCCCCCACAGGGCTACATTGGCAGAGCCCAGCTCCTGGGAAAAGGGCAGGACCCACTCCATTGTTAGCAGTTTGCTGAATTTTCTCTCTAACCATTCCTCTCTACCCTCACCCAGTGCGAGTGGTTTTGATTTTTTTTAAGTTTTACATGTGAACCAGAGGGTTCTTTTTTTTTTTTCCACTCCCCCTCTCCCCCATGCTGCTGGGTGTAATGTGACATTTTTTGTCCAACCCTTTTCCTCACCTACTAGAGCCTCCTCCCTAAGTCTGACAGCTCATTGCTTCCAGAAGCAGGGTTTGCCTGAGGTGGCTGGGGCTATCCCAGGGGACCCTTGAAATCTGACTTGGAGGCCTCACCCCACCCCTACCCAGCAGCCCCCACCAGCCTGTGGGAAGGGGATCCTTCCAGCATCTGCTTGTAGGGGGTTGAAGGGTGTCTAGTTCTGCTGGGATCCTAGCACTCCACTTTCTGGCCTGAGAGTGTGTTTGGGTGTGGGGGCAAGTGTATGAGAGGGGAGTCGACACCCCCAGCTAAAGCACAAGCACCTTAGTCGCACCTCCCCTGCCCCTCATCCTGGCCTTGACACCCTACCCCAGCGTCATCCCAAAGCACAATATCCTGGTCACTTGGTGGGCCCCCGGGGCCACAGAGGGGTGGGCTGGGGTTCCAGCCAGCCCCCAAAAGGAAGCAGGAGTCCTTAGGTACTCCCCCTTCCAGGCCTTAGCTGGGGGCCAGCTCCTGGGACAAGTGTCCTCTCCCTCCCTACCTTTTTTCTGGGCAGACCCCTGCCTAGCCCCTCCTTGCCTTGTCCTCAGGCAGGGCTTGCCCCTGTCCTTCCTCCATGCCCCTGCAACACTGGGTTGGGTAGCAGAACCCCCTTGTTTCAGGGACCCCAGGAGGTGCCCCTGGCTCCAGGGACTGTGTTGGTCTGGGGATAGGGGTTGGGGGGCGGGGCAGGGGTGCAGGGGAGGAAATTCCTCACCAGGAGAGCCAAAGACAGGGTCGTGCCTTACCCCAGGAGCCACCCCTGTGCCCATCCACCCTGCCCTCTTGGGTGGCCTGCTGCTTTTCTTTCTCCCCCTGCCCTGCTCCAAGCTGCATGGTACCCACCCCCACCCCCATCCTTGGGCAGCCAGGAAGGAATATGAATGGAAAATAACCAACCAACGCAAAAAAGACTGGAGGCCCCCTCCACCTCCCTGGCCACCCCTGTTCCCGTAGGACAGGGCACCTGCCTGCCATGTCCACGTGGAGTGCCAACACCTGCCCGGCTTTGGGCCGAGTCCACCCCCCCCCCCGCCCCCCGCCCTGGCCTGTAAGTGAGATTGCACATTAACTACTGTAAGGAGAGGAGCGCACTGGGAAATGTGAACATGAGAACATCAGTGACACTGATGAGGAGAATAAACTAAACGCCTTTGTAACAGCCCTGCTGTATGATGCTCACTGAGGTGGGATGGGATGGAGGGTGGCTGGGAAAGGATGCTTGCTACAACTAGGGTCTCCCATTCTTCTGCAGAATGACACCCCCATTGCCTAGGACTTCACATTGACAAATGCAGCAGGGTCATGCTCCAGGTGCACTTGGGAGTGGCCATGCCGAATGTCATAATGGAACATCGAGTTGAGAGGGGGAGGGGCAGCATGCTTTTTTTTTTTTTTTTTAATCCCAGATGGGAACACTGACAAGACCCTTCAGGCTACCCCAATGTGCAGACTCACAATCCTGCCCCAAAGTTGTTCCTGCACACATGACCCCTAAATCCTGCATGGGCATCCCATGGGAGCCCCTCCAAAGCTAGAATGAACTGCATGAACATGAACCCACTAGCTGCCCTGTGGTCTGACACCCCCATCCCAGGAATGCATCTCAAACATACCCCTTACTCCACCTGAGCCAACAAAAAAGTTGAGATGGCAAATCTATAGGATCCTGAGGATATGAAATGACAAAAGATTCTATGAAACCAAAGACATGGAAGTGCTTTAGGGTCCCATTTATTCAGTCTTTCAAGCTACCTAGGAAGGTACGTAACTATTTGAGGGATCCCATCAAGTCAACAATTTGCTGGGAAGTGGACAAGGAAGCTACATCTCCCATCAAGGCCAGGTCCTTCCACCCCATGACACAAGGGAATGATAACTGAGTAATAATGGTTGAGGCTGACCCTTGAACAACACGGGTTACTCTTACAGTCAAAAATTCATGTATAGCCCTGGCCGGTTTTGCTCAGTGGTCCAGAGAGACCCAGATTCGGTTCCCGCTAAGGGCATGTATCTCGGTTACAGTTTGTCCCTGGCCCTGGTTGGGTTGTGTGGGTGGCAGCCAATCAATGTGTACCTTTGACATCGATGTTTCTCTCTCTCTTCCTCTCTCTCCCTCCCACGCTATCTGAACAAAAAATAGAAAAATGTCCTCGGGTGAGGATAAAAAATTTTAAAAAAATCCATGTATAACTTTTGACTCCCCCAAAACGTTAATAGCCTATTAAAAAGACCAGAAGCCATCCAGCTGGTGTGGCTCAGTGGTTGAGCATCAACCCATGCACCAAGAGGTCACCATTCGATTCCCGGTCAGGACACATGCCCAGGTTGTGGGCCCAATCCCCAGTGAGAGGCATGCAGGAGGCGGCCAATCGATGTTCTCTCTCATCGATGTTTCTATCTCTCTGTCCCTTTCCCTTCCTCTCTCTAAAAACCAATAAAGAAAAAAAAAAAATAGACCAGAAGCCTTACTGATAATATAGTCAATGAATACATTTTTTGCATGTGTACCATATACTCTATTCTTACAACAGGCTACAAAAAAAGGTTATTTAAAAAATCATAAGGAATATACATTTACAGTATTTTAAAAATTGGCATATAAATGGACCTGCACATTTCAAATGTGAGTTGTTCAAAGGTCATCTATACTACAGTTCACAGGGTGACTTGTGTATGTTTCAGTAAGACCAGCACCTCTGGAGTCCTGAAGTCCAGCTTCAGCCATCAGAAAGGGGTTCTGAGGACCAACAGCATTGCCAACAAAAATCCAGAAGTGATTCTGCTCCATCTGACTCCCAGAAGCACATGTTTTAACCCCAGAAAGACTTAGAACTAAGTATAGAATAGATCAAGAGAACCCAAACCATAGCATGAAAAAACAATCTGTACATATTTGGTTCTTTTTTGACAAACTGGCATGACGGAATACTATCCTTGTAACATACAGCACTTTATAACATGTACATGAGTGAGTGAGTTGCGTGGTTCCCATGACTGATTATCTAATGTGGGGGTTGGAAACATCTAATGATAATCTAAGGTTCATAGCACTTAACAAGTTTACAGGAATCCTTTCATACCCAGGAAGGCTCTATCGCAAAGCCCTTAAATTTACAAATGCTGCCTTGTTAGAGTGATGCATCACAGAGGGAACAAGAAACCAGGTGTGCAGTGGAGCCCAGCGTTACTCAGGGGCACCTCAGAAGTGACCACTCAGCTCCATGGCTAAGGCATTTACCAACCTTGGGCACAGAACAGACAAATGATGTTTAGGTTGAACTTCAAGAGTTCAAGAAAGATTCATGGTTTGAAATTTTCAATAGTAATAAAAGGATCCGTCATGAAAACCAAGAAGTTAACCAGAATAATCTTTCTGCACCCGATACTGGCCACTGAAATTCCTAACATGCACACATGCATACACACACGCACATACCTGTGCCATAGTGTGTGCAAATGGGGCTTAAAATCAGAGTTCCCATTCAAGAGGCAGCCACAAGTTTTGAGTCAACATACCATATGATATAAATACGTATAAAAAAGACTGGGATTTTATTTCCAAGTTGGCACATGTAGAAGGCACAGGGGTGAATAAATGGCTTTCGGGCACTGGAAATAGAAATGGGGTGGGGTGGGTCTGAGGTCCCCCAACCTCCACCACTCCCTAAGTGCACTTGGGAGAGGACCAGTGGTGGGGGTTCTGACCCAGGGTCCTGAGGGTCCCACTGGCTCTGGATGAGAGCCTTGGGATAGCTTCCCAGGTATGACACCCTCCTCCCAGAGGGCAGGGCCCTGCCAGCTCCCTCAGCTTGAAGGATCAGCCCCCTGGGGAGGGCCAGGGTCAGAGAGAGAAGAGCAGGATGAGAATCAGGAGAAGCACCCCCAACAGCACCACAATTGCACACCACTGCCGGCGGTCTGAGGGTGAGAGGGTCAAAAGTCACGGGGAAGCAGCACCACCCATGTCTCCATGCCCCAAACTGCCTCCCTCAGAGGACTCACCACTTGTCATGTGGGATACTTTGGCCATCTTCCTGAGCACCCCATCCATCCGGGACTGGGTGTGGTCCATCTCATGAGCAAAGGCATCCAGCATACTGCCAAGACGAAGATGATGTCAGCCCTCAAAGGGCAGCCGGCCTGAGGCTCCCAGCCCACCCTGGGGGTCCTGGCCTCACATGCCCTGCTCATCCAGCTCCTCCCCAACTCGGCCAGACATGTGTTTCAGAACCCGGATACTCCCAGACACCATTTCCAGCTGTTGGTCCTGTTGGTCCATGATCAGCTGCAGATTGGGGACATGGAAACTGCTGTCATCAGGGAGCCTGTGCTATCTGCAGGCTCCTTCAGCCCACAGCTCCTACCACCCACACAAACCTGCTGTGTGGCTTGCTGTTCCTCAATGTAGCGAGAGGTGGCTGAGACTACGCTGGCATCCAGCAGGTCACTGAATGGCTTCTGGGCTGATGGCTTGCCCATCAGCATCTGGTGAGGCACAGACCACAGGCTCAGAGATGGACAGCCACTTACCATAGAGCCAGACACAGGCAAATCTAGATGGAGGTTAGTCAGTAACGCAGTCTTTGAAGTGGAATGGCCTGGGTTCCCCAGACCCACTTACTAGCAAGGTGACTGACCCCAAGGCCATACCACTTGACCTCCCTGTGTATCAATTTCCTCATCTGTAAAATGGGAAGAATTACAATCCTTGTTTCCTGGGGTTGGAATGAGGAAATGAATTAATCCATGAAGAACACTTATTACCATATAAACAAGTATATGTAAGAATTTGAACGTTAATCCCTGAAGGCAGCACACCAGGAAGGCATGTGGGCACTGCTATAGGACTCCAAGCTGGTATGGGCCTTAGCTCCCCTAACCTTCCATGTGGGTTTATGATGGGATGGGGAGAGGCAGGTGGTTTTACAACATGCAAAGAATGGGCACACAACACAGAGGGGAAAGGTGTACAGACAGGCAGCAGGAAGCATGTGCACAAAAGGCATGAGCAGGCACACACAAGGCAAGCACACCTACAGGGGGAAAGGGTATGCATGCACAAGGCAGACTTGATATACTCAGAGGCCATGTTCACACATTCAGATAGGTCAAAAGCATACACAGAGAAAAAAGGTATATGCTGGAAACAGTTAACACACAGAAGAACGAAAAAAAAAGGGGGGGGGGCTAGGTATACAGACACTACCCACCCACCCTGGCAACCAGTATAGATCTCCAGGAGAAGGCAGAAGGCAATATACAATTAGTGAGAGCTCACACACAGAAAGAAGTCAGGTAAGAGAACTGCATACAGAAAGGATGGGCATTGACATAAGGGACAGAAACACACTTTCCCAGGAAACAAGCAAACACACAGAGGAGTCATCCAGAAAGATCTTTCGGGTAAGGATACTGGGTCAGGATGCCTTACCTCTCTATTATTTCTCTCCATAAAGGCTACAGCTGCTGGGCTGACCATATGATCCTTCATTTCCTGAGGGTGGGGACAGCATCAGAGAGTAAAGACACCCCCACCTCCCCACCCTCACTCCCTTGTAACCTAGTCTCACCTGGACAGCCTCCCGCATCAGCTCCACAAACACCTTTCTCTCTTGCAGGTCCCCAGCTGGGAGCTTGAACTTGCCTGGGTTAGCTTCCACTATGCGTACCCCTCGAATCAAGAGTCAAGGCCACAGCCAGACACAACCCCCTCCTCTGCCTCAAAGCCCTCAACCCCTCCCTGGTGTCCAGCTTCCCAGCTCCCCCTGCCACCGCAATGGGCTCTCCCAGGCCGCCCTCCAACCCCCCAGGATATCGATGGTCTCCTCCAGGTCCTCGAGGTCCCACTCAATGCTGCGTAGGCCATTCCGCAGCTCATTGGTCGTCCAATCCAGCTCCTCGCGTCCGACCGCAGCGCCCTCCTGCAGGAGCTCGCACCAGCGCTGGTACAGCCCGCGGGCTGTGTTCACTGCCTTCTGCACCTCGCTGCAGACAGGGACACAGCCGGCGCGTCGAGGGGCAGGCGGACCTTCCGCCGGCTGCTGCGCCCCCATATGAGTGGAGGGGCTCAGAGGGCCCCCACATCCTTCTGCGTACCTCTCCCACTTGGTCACTGGGTGATCCCCACCCGCGCACCCCCAGACCGCTTGGCACGCTGTGCCCCTCATCCGGGCACTAGCTGGCAGCGGCCCGAGCACCCTCTACCCTCCCCCATCACTGTCACTCACCCTCGAACTACAAAGAACGGGTCTTCGAGAGACATGTCACCGCCCCGCGTCGGAGGCCAAGCCCCCCTCCCCTCTGGGCCTTGATAGCTGGTTTCCTCTCAGCGGTAGGGAACACGCCACCACACCCGCCCCTGTCACGTGACCCATGCCACCATAGAGAGTGGGTCTACGAGGAGAGAAAGAGAGGCCTCGGAAGCCGGAAATGCGGAACTCCCGCCCCCTCCGCAGCCATCTTAGTTGTAGGCAGAGACGGCTCTCTGCACCGGCCTCGACCCTTCTTGTCCGCGTATCCCTTCTGCCCCCAGCCTTTCCCCAGTTCTTCAGGATCCCTGAGTTCGAGGTCCAGCCCCTCGAACTGTTGCCGCACCACCGTAGTTTCCCTTCTCGGCAATGTAAATAATAATAGTCACCCAGAAATCAAACGAGATAGTGGCTGGGGAAGATTCTCCTAACGTACACCCCGAGTCTGCCCCCGGATCCTGTCCAGGGAGATCGTCCCAGCCCAGGGTCCAGAGTGGCAGGTTTGGGAAGGGTTCGGGGGAGAGGTGGTCGTCCCCACCTTCCCGCCGGCGGGGTGAAGCGCGGGCATTCTCAGCTCTGCTGAACTCCCCTCCTCTGTTTTCCTTTGGAGGAGGGGCACACCCAGGTTACCCCCGGGCGGAATCCTGCCGTTAGTGGGCACCACGGAGATGCTCATGGGGTATGGTGTCTTACTGGGTGTGAGCCTGGGGTTCGCGGGAGGGGGTGTGGTGGTGGCTCTGAGGATGTCTCCAGAGGAGTGCGTGTGGGCTCTCCGTCTGGGAGGGGCCAGGAATGTTTGGGGGGGGGACTCAAAGGGTTTCAGTCACACAGGGGCGTTCTTTGGGATCTCAGGGAAATAACTTTTTTGGGGGGTGCAGGGAAGCCATCTCTTGAGTGAAGTCCTGATTTCTCTCTGGAGGGTCGGCGGGATCTCTGAAGTAGTCCTCGGAGGGTTATTCCCAGTGTGTGTCAGGGTTGCTTTGTAGGGTTTTAGAGATAGTACCTGGGCTGGGGATGTCATTGTGGAGTCTCTGTGGTGCGGGGTAGGAGGTTTAGGGGATGAGGACATTCTCAGCCGGTCACCGCAGTGTGTGGCAGGAAAGATTGCTGAATGAGGACAGTAGTTGAATGGGATCGGTTTTTCAGGGAGTATAATTGTTGAGTCCCCTTGTGCAGAGAGCGGGACCTAAGCTTCCTCCAAGGGTGCATGAGAACATTAATTTCGGGGGAAGGAGCAGTAATACCTGGGTGGGGGCCTTGTAGAGAGAAATAACTGAGGAGAGACAGGGATGAAGGGGCCCTCATCGAGTGCTGGCGAAGTCTTTTTTTTTTTTTTTAAAGTATGTCTTTAGCCCTGGCCGGTTTGGCTCAGTGGTTAGAGCATCGACCTGCGGTCCAGAGAGACCCGGGTTTGGTTCCCGCTAAGGGCATGTACCTCGGTTGCAATTTGTCCCCGGCCCTGGTTGGGTCGTGCGGGAGGCAGGCACTGGTTGTGCCCCTTTCACGTCGATATTTCTCTCTCTCTTCCTCTCTCTCCTTCCCACTCTCTCTGAACAAAAAATGGGAAAATGTCCTCAGGTGAGGATAAAAAAATAATAATAAAGTATGTTTTTATATTAGTTTTTTGAGAGAAAGGAAGGGAGAAACATCAATATCCATCGGCTGCTTCCTGCACGCCCCCTACTGGGGGTCGAGCCCACAACCTGGGCATGTGCCCTGACCGGAATTAAACCAGCGGCCTCTTGGTGCATGGGATGATGCTCAATCCACTGAACCACACCAGTGGGGTGTGGGAAGGTCTTTGTGTAGGGTCCTTGAGAGATGGCATCAGGGGGAGCCCTGAAGTCACCTCTACTCGCTCGCGGGGGATATTCCCGGAGGGGCGTCACGCCTTCCTGGCCTCCCGGGAAAGAAGCGAAACCTTCCTCGCTGGCCCGACAGGACATGGATCCGGAAGCCGGGGGCTCCTGCTAGCCCTAGTTGCTGAGTAGAGAAAGAAAGAGGGCGTGTCTGGAGACCAAGGCCCCACCCATGCCCGCCCGCCCGGAAAAAGCCAGCTCTGGCCTAGTAAGAAGAGTCCCGCCCCTGTACTTATATGGGCAGCCGGAAGCCGCTCCGGCGCTTGCCCTACGTCAATTATTTCCAAATTTAGTCCTGGATGTAGCTCCGACCCAGTGGCGGGAAGCCTCTGCGCCCTAGTTCGGTGGGCGGAGCCTCCCCTTAAAGGACCCGCGCCACGAATGAATGGAGCCGTTCAAACAATTTTGCCCCCCTCCCTTTTTTGGAGGAACTGGAAAAAGGTTTCTTGGAGAGACTGCGTGGAGGAGGGTAGGACTGATGTTTTCTATCTGCTCTATCTCTGCATTGCTCAGTTTTCAGCACCTACCCCAACCTCGTCTCCCGGGGTGCAGAGGCTGAGCATGGCCGCGTCGTTTAGGGGGCGGCAGCCACTAGTTTATCCGGATGTCGTGTAGTCAGGTCCTCCACTTTACGAACACCAAGCCCATCTGTGGAGCTTGTGCCTGAGGAAACTGGGAGGATGTTCAGTGCAGAGAGCAGAGATAGCAGCCCGGAACGCACTCATATCTGCAGACTTCCGCCGCCTGTGGAGCGGACTGCTCTGCCCTGGCACCAACCAGCTTGCTGGCCTCCTTACTGCGTACAGACAAGGGGAGTGAGGAGGGCTGGCGTACGTTAGATACTTTAGAGGTGAAGGCCTCCTTTCACTGCATTTGGCCTGTTTATTCGTTTAGCAAATATTGGACTAGTCAATCCGCCTCGGTTTCCCCCACGTGAAGAAATCGGGTAAAACAACAGTACTTTCCGCGGAGTGGAAGTGAGGGATCAATGAGATATTTATGAAAGGAAAGCCTTTAACATAGTCTGGCACATAGTAACTGCTTAATAAATGTTAGTATTGTTATTGGTTCAAAAAACATTAATGAACTGTCCACGTGGGGGCGGGGGTAGTGTACGGGCTCGAACCTGGGTATTCCCCGGTGTGAAGGGAAACTAGCCGCCTACGACCTGCTGGGGCCTGCGAACTCTAGCACGTGCGTGGGTCGTGAGCTTCACCCCTGGCCCCGCGGCCCTGGGCCTGCGCGCGGGCTCACTGTGGCGGGGAGAGAAGGCCGAGAAAGGAAACCACTCCAAGATAGAGAGTGGACTAGGGAACGTTCCTCCTCGTCCAGGCTCGCATCCCTTTTGTCCGGTAAATTACACCCTGTAGCTTTAAGGCATTTTCGGGCCCCAACGGGGTGGAAAGCCCGGTGCAGCGTTCTGATTGGACGGGGTGTCATCGTGACGTGACTCCGGGTATAAATGGGCCGCGGTGGCGGGCGCCGGGGCAGAGCGTCCTAGGTGCTTTACCCCGTTGATTTCCGTGTAGAGAAAGCCGTGAGCCAGCGCGTAGTACGGAGTGCACCTGCTCAGCAGGGGAGTCCCCGCCGTCGAGTCACTATGGAGGTGCAAAAGGAGGCTCAACGCATTATGACCCTGTCGGTGTGGAAGATGTACCATTCGCGCATGCAGCGCGGAGGGCTGCGGCTGCACCGAAGTCTGCAGTTGTCTCTGGTCATGCGTAGCGCCCGGGACCTTTACCTCTCCGCCAAGGTGGAAGCCCACGAGCAGCCCGAGGGGCCCTCGCCGCCCACCCGCTCCCCTGACCCTCGCCTGCACCCACTAAGGGGAGCGCAAGCCACTGCAGAGGCAGCGTCCTCCGGAGCCGAGCAGCCCTGCCCGGAGCCCATGGATACTCAGGAGGCGCCGAGAGCCGAGGAGACCCCTCCCCGCTGTGCCCCGCGACCCGCCAAAGTCAGCCGCAAGCGGCGGAGCAGCAGCCTCACCGACGGCGGGGATGCCGGACTGGTCCCAAGCAAGAAAGCCCGTCTAGAAAAGGAGGACGCGGAAGAAGGGGAGTCTTCGGAGATCCTTGATCGCCTGCAGGCCCCTCCCGCGCAAGCGGAAGGCGCCTTTCCCAATTTGGCGCGTGTACTACAGAGGCGCTTCTCTGGTCTCCTGAACTGCAGTCCCGCCGCCCCCACGACGGTGCCATCGCCCCCGGCACGCGAGGCGAAGCCGGTCTGCCGCTCGGCGGATAGCATGCTGAACATGCTCGTACGGGCCGTGGTGGCTTTCTGAGGGCCCCCGAGCGGCGCTGCCGAAGCCCAGAGCGCGGGTCGAAACGTCGGCCCGAGTATACAGACCCGAGGCCAGGCCACCCCCGCGGGAAGGTCTGCGGAAACGGTGGAGAGGAGCCGCGGCCCGGGCTACTGAGAGGCCCGGAGAGCGATTATGCCCCCGAGGAGCTGTCGCCACCCGTGTGCAGCGGCGGCGCCAAGGAACCTGAGACGGGGGCTCAGACACCTTCCTCTGAGACCTGCCGCGCCCACAGGTGCTGTCTTAACCGACCGGGACATGGCCTTTCCGTCTCCTTCTGGGACTGGGTGAGGGAGGTTTGGTTCCTGAAATTCCTCAGGATCGGACTTTATTTTTTTACTGGGGGCTGCGTTGCCCGTTCAAGGTTTTTCAATAGTTGGTGTTCGCGTTTCCAACTCAGAGCATTCCAGGCACTCTTCTTTCCCCTCCAGTGACATACTTATGCAAGCGGTCATCGTTGCGTCATGGGGCAGACGTGGGGAGCTTCCTGTTGCCTTGCGTGGGTGTGGGGCCTGGGAGGAGGGCTGCCTGAGTCACTTAGCCGCCGCGCGCGTCACCCTGCGCCCCTGTGCCTTCAGGTTAGGGAGAAGCTGATCTCGTTTCAGGTTAGAATTTTCCTCTTTTGGTGCGTTCAATGTGAGGATATGTTCACAGTCTCAAGCGTGACCCTCCGTCAGGCACAGACACAGTCACTCAGAAGATCTTGGTCTAAATGACAAAAATAGGGGAAGGGAGTGTTCAGAGCTCTGTAAGGATGAGCTAGGACCAGTTGCTGGTGAGACTGGGCCAGTTTGGGGAGGGGGAGATTCTAACCAGTGCGTTCTGAGGGTCTATTTACTCTGGTGGGTTCTGTTTAACTCCGTCTATCTGGCCTTTTGCTAGAGATGCCAGATACGAAAATAAAGGCCATTTGAATAAAAAGTCGGCTGTCTAGTTTTCTTCCCTGGTCGGGGAGGGGCAGGATTAAAGGGTCAGGAGGTGGGGGCGGCTTGCTGGGACCGAAGAACCGGTCTGACCGGCTTCCACGTGGTCGAGAGGGTGCTGGGCCCCCTTTTCTCAGCCGGAACACTTCCGAGCTGGATATCCTGGCACTCCAACTCCATAAACCCCTCACCTTTGAGGGTTCTTTAGAAATTCCCCTATAGTCCTGGCTCGGTTGGTTAGAGCGTCGTCCCTATACGCCTAGGTTTCAGGATCAATCCCGGGTCAGGGCTCATAAAAGAGCCAACCAATGAATGGGTGGAACAACGTGTCATTGTTTCTCTGTTTGTCTCCCTGCCTCCTTCTCTATGAAAATCAGTGAACGAAATTTAAAAAGAAATTCCCCTACAAGTATGGGGGGAAGAGGGCTTTCAAAGTTCAGACATTTGGGAGGACACCAATGGGGACGGTGCCCCATGTGTAGCTGGAGAACCAAGCCTCCTTTCCAGACTGGAACGACGGCATATTCCCTCCACCCCCACCCGGAGGCACTTGACGAACTGAATCATCTGGGGCGGGAGGGAAGCTGAGCAGGTAAACTTTGGAGCACACTTTATGCCATGTTCCAATCTCTGGTTGTGAATTATGTGGCTCAGACAGGGAGGTAAACTCCCAGCTTCAGTTTCCTCATCGGTGGAGTTCGCCTTTAAACAGCTTCCCCAGGGGTAGGCTGCAGGTTTAGAAATACTGTGGGAGCCTTTGTTATTTGCTTTGGCTCCATCCCAGCTCCAAGTTAGCCACCCCAGAAGAGAAAGCTCTTATAATTCACCCAGTACTGGCCCAGGAGGGGGGCTGTGGGGAGGACAAAGGAGCCACAAGTGTAAGGAGTGAGGGTGGTAGGAGGTTCAGGAAAGCACCTGCCCCAACTCTGGAGGGCTAGGTACCCTCTGGGCTTCCCATGACCTCGAAGATCTGACCCCAAGGCAGAAGGGTGGAATGTGGAGGATGAAATAGAGGAACTACCCACCCCAGAATACCCCACCTAGCTCCCTCCAGCTTCTTCCACCTCCCCCACCCCTGGGAATTTAGCCCAGCTAGCCTCCTTGGCCACCTGATTCCTCCCTGGGAAAGGAGGGATACTTAGTGCAACTCACTCCAAGGCCTGACCCAGAACTCCCCAGTGGGCTGTAAGGGACTGGATCCCCACACCTCCAGTGGTAGCTCAATGTGTCCTCTTAGGAGCAGCTCCCCAGAGAACCTGGCCCAGCCCCAGGAAGTCCCAGGCCACTGGGGAGGAGGCCTCACTGCACATCCTGTCGCAGGAACCGCCGGGCCCTTCCTTCCGAGGGAAGCAGCAGCTTGGCCTACTCCTGCCTGGGCCACTTGGGTGTTTCCGGTGCTGACTTGGGGGAGGGGGGTTGGCTGGAAATGATACATGGGAGGCAGACCAGCACTTCACACACATACCCCCTTAATATATACCCCTCCCCTCCCCTGAGACCTCATTTCACCTGTCAGAATAGGCAGAATCGAAAACATGTGGCAACCGATATTGTTCGGGCCTGGGTTTTTAGTCCATTACACGGCACTTGGTTATCAGGACAGGTCCTCTGGGGAGTAATTGGACAATGACTGTAAAAACTACAAATGTCACATATTCTGTGATCAGCTGATTCCCCAAGGAACCAGGAAGAGTTTCCAGAAGGGTGTTCACAGTGTTGTCTGAAATTGGCACAGATTTGAAGCAACCTACATGCCCATCCAACTGGACTGGTATGGTAGAATGTGAATTATCCATGGCTCCCCACCCTAAAGATAAAAGGCCTGAGCCTGACAGATCTACACACTCAGACAACAGAGATAACCCAGAACCATGGGTGACAAAGGCCATTTGCAGAAGTTGTGGGGTAAAGAGCACAGATTTCTGAGCCCAGACAGCCAGTTCTATTTGCTTCCAGTGCAACTTTGAGTACGTTACTTCACCTCTCTGGGCCTAAGTTTACCTGGCTATAAATTTTGGAATAATCCCTACCCCTTAGATTCATTGTTATATAGCTCTGGCCGGTTTTGCTCAGTGGTTAGAGCGTCGACCTGCGGTCCAGAGAGACCCGGGTTCGGTTACCGCTAAGGGTACGTACCTTGGTTGCAATTTGTCCCCGACCCTGCTTGGGTCATGCGGGTGGCAGCCACTCGATGTGTCCCTTTCACGTCGATGTTCCTCTCTCTTTCTCTCTCTTCCTCTCTCTCCCTCCCACTCTACCTAAACAAAAAATGGAAAAATGTCCTCAGGTGAAGATAAAGAAAAAAAGAAGATTAAGCAATATAGTATATGTAAAGTGCCTGGCACACAGGGTTATTATTGTTATTTTAAATGTGTTTTTATTGATTTCAGAGAGAGAAAGGAAAAGGGAGAGAGAGACAGAAACATCAATCAGCTGCCTCCTGCAGGCCTTCGCACAACCAGACATGTGCATTGACCTGGACCCTAACTGATGCACAGGACTACACTCAACCAACTGAGCCACACCAGCCAGACACAGAGTGTTATTTTTTTTTTTATTGTTCAAGGCCAGGATGACAACAGTGCTGGTCATTTAAAAACATACAGCACTGCCCTGGCCGGTTTTGCTCAGTGGTTAGAGCATCAGCCTGTAGACCAGAGAGTCCCGGGTTCAGTTCCTGCTAAGGGCACGTACCTCGATTGCAGTTTGTCCCGGCCCCGGTTGGGGTCGTGTGGGTGGCAACTAGTTGATGTGTGTCTCTTGCATCTGTGTTTCTGTCTCTCTCTTCCCCCCTCTCTCCCTCCCACTCTATCTGAACAAAAGTGGAAAAATGTCCTTGGGTGAGGATAAAAAAATAAAAACAAACAAAGAAACAAAAAACACACAGCACTGCCCTGGCCAGTTTGGCTCAGCAGTTGGAGCATTGGCCTGTGGACCAGAGAGTCCTGGGTTCGGTTGCCGCTAGGGGCACGTACCAAAAACCAAAACAAAACAAAACATACAGCACTGCCCTGGATGGTTTTCTCTGGTTAGAGCATCCGCCCACAGACCAAAGGGTTGCAGGTTTGTTTCCTGGTCAAGGGCACATACCTGGGTTACAGGTTCGATCCCTGGGCCTGGTCAGGGTCTTGAGGGAGGCAACTAATCTGTGTGTTTCTCTCACATCAATGATTCTCTCGCTCTCTCTCTCTCTCCCTCCCTTTCACTCTATCTAAAATTTAATGGAAAAATATCCTCAGGTGAGGATTAACCAAAAAAAGTAAAATAAAATAAAATAAAATAAATAAATAAGCCCTGGCCGGTTTGGCTCAGGGGTTCCTGCCCTTGATCCTCACAATCTATTTTGCACAACAGCTGCACAGATCCTATAAAACACAAACTGGATCGTTTCACTCTCCCAGCTCTCCTCTGCTTCTCCCACACTAGCCTCCTTTCTGCTTGCAGAACAGACCAAGTGTGTTCTAGCCCCAGGGCCTTCACACTTGCCGTTCCTTCTGCCTGCAATGCCCTTCTTCCAGATACCCACACATCCATCTTCACATGCTCATTCTTCAAATTTCTGCTGAAATGCCACCTCCTGGAGGAGGCCTTCTTTGACTACCTAATCTAAAATAGCACCCCACTCTGCCACTCTGCTCAGCCTTCCAAACTGCTCACCGTTTGAAAGGATATATTTATGTTTTATTTAGCATCTGCAACCCCATTCAAATGTCAATTCCATGAGTGAATGCCCAGACCAGGCTAAAATGAGTGAATGAGGTTGTCTGGGGTAAGCAGGTGCTAAGTGCTTAATATTTATTATTTCATTTAATCGGTGGCTTCCCATGGATCTTAGAATACAATTTCCCAAACTACAGACAGTTTCGGGTCAGGATTTTTTACTATCATTATTTATATAATTTTAAAAACTTAATGGTGAGTTAATCACTCACCATACATAGAAGGTAACAGTTCATAAAAGTTACAGTGAAAATGAAAACAGTCATAAGATCCTGCTGATGCCCTGGCCAGTTTGGTTCAGCGGTTGGAGCGTCATCCTGTGGACCAGAGAGTCCTGGGTTTGGTTCCTGCTAGAGGCACTTACCAAAAAAAAGAGATCCTGCTGAAACCTCATAGCCAGTGTGAGGTTCCAGACAGCTTTCTTAGTTACAAAGGAAGATTAGCAAAGTAGCAAAGTTAAAAGACACATTGTTGCCAAAGGAGGAAGACTATCCTTAAGTCAGGGAACATGTTGGGACTGAAAGCTGAAAAGAAAGAGAAGTTGAGAGATGTATTCCATATTATTTAAAATAAATCACTTTGTCCACTGTCCCAGAGTTAGGAGTATTCTGCTTCTGGAAGAGGAACAACCCTAGGACTGTCCTGTGGGATCTGGGCCCAGTGGCATCACCCTGCAGCCATACTGACCTTGTACTTCTACAGTCTTCCCAGCCACAGGACCTTTGTACATGCTCTCTCCTGGAGTGCTTTTCCATTCCCTATTCACCTAGTTAAGTTAAAGGCAAATTATTAGGGAAGTGTTTCCTGTCTGCCTCCTCATTTTGATCCAAGATCCCTATATTTGTTGACACTCAGATCAAGAGCTACTTTTTTGTGTATGTAGTATTTATCACAACTACAATTTTACATTTGTTTCTAGGTTTGTCTCTTCTTCCAGCTTGTGACCTCCAAGAGACAAGCCTAGCAGATTCTTACTACCTAGTTTTTGTGAATGAATTATGCCTTTGCAACTTTCCTTTGAGGTAGGTCCTTCTAACTTACATTTTTTTTAATAGTTCTGGAAACTGAGGCCCAGAGACGATCACCTTGCAGGAAAGCAAGTAGGAGACAGCTCTAGCTGTGTCCTCCATCCCGAGATTCCCATCTCCCTTCTCGTGGGGGTGGGGGGTGGGAGGAGGTTGAAGGTAGGGTGATGGGGGGAGGGACAGGAGTCCCAGTTCAGCCTTGGCTGATCTGGGAAAGGGTCGAGCCACAGGTCGGACCACCCTAGAAGCAGCACCCAGACCGGTTTACCCGGTTCCAGGATCCTGGGCGAGGTGCCCGCCCGAAGGGGGAAGACGCCGGCATTGGCCTAGCTGTCAGCCCGGGGCGGGAACTTGATCTCCGCCAGAAAATTTCAATATCAGGCGGGGAGCTCCGGGTGAGTCACTGGCCAGGCAGGAGGTGTGGATCGACCTGGGTGTCAATTACAGATGGGGCGGGACATGCAAATTTACTCCGCCTCTCACTCTTTGCCCCACCGCCCCGCCCCGCCCCGCCTCTCGCGCGCTGCACAGAGTGATTTGCAAAAACTCCCAGAGTAGTGGGTGCGCCAAGCCACGCCCCTCGCCCCCAAACCGGTCCTTTCCGGATTCTGTCCAGACCTTCAGAGCTTGGCGGCGCCCCCAACTCTACCAACGCGAGGGCGGGGCTTAGGGGCTGCGCTGGGGTCGGGGGGTTGCGTCTGGGGCTGGGGGTGGGCCGAGAATCAGGAAAAAGAGGAAGAAAATGGGGATTACCGGAGTTTGAGTCTCTTGCTATTAGCCCTAGCCCTGGAGGATGCTGAAACCCCCTACATGTGTCCAGGGGAGCCCAGAATCCCATACTGGCGTCCAGAGGAACCCAGAGCCCCTACACCTGTGTTCAGGGAATCCCAGACCACCCCTTCCTGTGTCTAGGGTTGCTCTTAGGAAGGTACTTTATGTTTCCTGAGGCTCAGTTTAAGGGGTTATTCCACCCATTTTGTGTTAAAGTGAGTTTAGGTCTCCCCAGATATGTGTTCAGGAAAGCTGAGGCCCTCCACCTGCACGTTCAGGCCTGAGGCCTCCCCAGGCTGGACTCCTGGCCTGATGGTTTTGGATGGAGCCTCTCAGCAGAAATCTCGCTGCCTTCCTGCCTCCTGGCCCATCCTCCTCAGAATAAACCACCCCATACCAACACATTGTCAACTGTCAGTTAAGAAATCATCTCACACCGGGCCAGTGTGGCTTAATTGGCTGGTGTTGTTCAGTGGTTTGAGGATCGACCCATGAGAGGTACCAGTTCCATTCCTGGTCAGGGCACCTGCCTCGGTTGCAGGTTCAATCCCCGGTAGGGGGCCTGCAGGAGGCAGCCAATGGATGTGTCTCTCTCACGTCAATGTTTCTATCTCTCCCTCTCTCTAAAAAAAATCAATTAAAAAAGAAAAAAGAAATCATCTCAGCATTCACTGTTTCCTCCTACCCTCCCTCCCACCCCTAGGCAGCTCTTGGGCCC